AGTCAGGCCTCAAGGTCCAAACTGTTTCTCACTTTGAAAACTGACAGGGCCTCTAAGACAGAGGTGTAAAACTCATTTGTGACGAGGGCCGGATCTAACATAAATGTCACTTTATCGGGCCGGGTCATGTGTGTCATAAAATGTAATGCCAGGCACCGGAGATATAAACTTTATAAAGAACACCGGCAAGCCCAATTAACAATATTGGTTTTTTAGCCAAAATGCAAACAGAAGCAATTGATTCCTAGGAGTGAAAGCAACTGATGTACTGGGGAGCCCACAAAAGCCCCAGTAAATGTATTTTATCATATGCAAGACTCGTTTTTCCCAAGGGATACCATAAAAAGGGGAGTACTTTATATTTCCATACATACCAGTTGCTTGCGAGCCGGGTAAGAGCCCTGGATGGGCCGGTTCTGGCACCTGGGCCTTACGTTCTAAGGGAAGGATTAGCCCAGTCCCCCCCCCCCCCCACAATAATTTTTTAATTGATTATTTAGTCTGTTACATTGAGAGTTTATATTTATTTACATTTTCTCCCCTCCCTTCCTCCCTCCCTCTCTTTTAGTCATAGTCTTTTCCCCCCAGCCAAGGGCATAGAGTCTTGATCTTCCACTGAATGTCCTTCCTTCTTTCTTTCATCATCCAGTCTAGGTAGATCTTCCATCTGGTCTTGATTTCCGTGGATTTTTCTTCCCATGTTGTTCCCTTGTTGGTTGACTCCACAATGTCTGACTGTATAAAATCAAACAAATAGTTGTGCCAGATTTCTATTGTCCATTTACTTTTGTCTTTCCAACCCAGCGCGATAACTGCCTTGGTGGGATAGACTCAATGTCTATACGGTGCCAGGACCTAGCCTAGGAGGCAAGGCTAGGAATAGGTTTAGGAATAAAACCTTCCCGTGGAGAAACCAGTAAGAGTCCAGTAGCACCTTAAAGACTAACAACATTTGTGGTAGGGGATGAGCTTTTATGAATCACTGCTCACAAATCGTGTTAGTCTTTAAGGTGCTACTGGACTCTTACTCTTTTCTACTGCTACGGACAGACTGAGACGGCCACGCATCTTCATCTCTCTCTGTGGCGAAACAGTCCGCCGTGGACTACACCAGTCACAAACCAAAGGTTGACCACAGGGGGAAGGGTAAAGCTGTTGTTCGGGGGCAAGGAGATTTTAGCACACCCTCCTCAGTGCACCCATTTTACACCGACAAGCCGGGCCTCCTCTCTTGACACCCAGGGTTGCACCAATCAAATAGGCACATTCCAGGCAATGGTCCCTCTCAGCCGTGGAGTCCTGTGAGCAGAAGTTCTACTTGGTGAGCAACTGGCATGAAAGTTGTGAGGGAGTGATTTGGCTGCTGCATAAATCAGTGAAGGAACAGTGTCTTCTGCGTGGCAAGCCCGGAATTCACTGTTCTCCTGGCTGGAGATTGGGAACCCAAAAGTATGTGTGTGCTGAGACATCTGCTGACTATGAAGTCACTTGGCCTTGACAGAAAGACGAGAAAGAAAGCTGTCTGCAGACACATTCCTGAATATAGTAGGTCATCATAATATGGGGTGACTTGTGTAACTTTCGATATGTAAGAAGGGGAGGAGGGAAAGAACGGGGGGGAAGAGATTTTCAATAAATAACGCTGGTGAGTGAGAGGATTCATTCAGTCAGCTCAGCTTTCTACAGACCTGTGTCCTGTCTTCTTTGAACACCAGCAACCTTCAAATCAGTTTGCTCTGGAGCCATCCTTCCTGAGCGAAGGCAAAGATGTGTGAGCCGGAGGCTAAAAAACTGTGAGCTCGCTCACACTAACTCATCTTAGAGGGAACACTGATTCCAGGCTCTGTCACTGCAGCGCCAGCTCTCAGAGTGTCGGTCAGCGTCCAGTTTCCCCCCTCCAACGTTGCTTCCCCAGCCCCCTTTCCCAGACCTACCTGAACAGGATCCTCTTTGCCATTTCAGGTGCCAGGCCCATTTGAAGAAGGAGCTTTGAACTGCCGGGCGCCGGTGCCAGTGGTCACAGGAGAGGTTCGCAGGGACACAGGCTTGCGGAGTAAGACTTTTGACCCCGGAATTTCACAGATCCCGGGGCGAGGTGTTTGAATTAAAGCTCTGTATTCTTTGAATTGGGTGTGTGTGTGTGTGTCAGGTTTGCTGGGAAGGGCCGTGGCGCTGTGGTAGTGCTTTTGCACCGCATACAGGCGGTCCCAGGTTCGGTCCCCGGCATCTCCAGGTAAAAAAGATCAGGGAGCAGGCGACGGGGAAAATCTGAGCCCCTGAAAAGGGCCTGCCAGACTAAGGAGACAATGCTGACCTTGACAGACCAAGGTTCTGACTCTCTGCAAGGTAGGATCAGGGGTCTGTGCTCACTTGCTTCATAGCTGGAGAGCCAGTTTGGTGTAGTGGTTAAGTGCGTGGACTCTAATCTGGGAGAACCGGGTTTGATTCCCCACTTCTCCACTTGCACCTGGCTGGATGACCTTGGGCAAGCCATAGTTCTGAAAAGAGCTGTTCTTGAAAAAGGGCAGTTTCCGTCAGAGCACCACCTACCTCACAGGGTGTCTGTTGTGGGGAGGGGAAGGGAAAGGAGTTTGTAAGCCGCTCTGAGACACCTTTGGGTAGTGAAGGGCAGGGGTATAAATCCAATCTCCTCCTCCTCCTCCTCCTCCTCCTCCTCCTCCTCCCCCTCCTCCCCCTCTTCTTCTTCTTCTTCTTCTTCTTCTTCTTCTTCTTCTTCTTCTTCTTCTTCTTCTTCTTCTTCTTCTTCTTCTTCTTCTTCTTCTTCTTCTTCCTCCTCCTCCTCCTCCTCCTGGCTCAGTGGCAAAGCCCCTGCGTTTGCCCAGCTCAGTCCCCGGCCTTTCCATTTGAAGAGTCTCCAGTGGCAGAGACTGAGAAAGACCTTAGAATGGGGCCTCTCTCTCCTCCCTCGGGCAGCCCGGCAGTCCACGGCTCTCAGCTGTTCCAGGCAGCAGTGGAGATCCATTGGGCGGTGGGGGCGGTGGGGAGAGTGGCATCCAACGTCCTCTCTCCAGGGCTCTCCTAATCAGAGTTGTCACTCTTCCAAGCTCCTTGAAGTCAGTGGGCTTAGAAGGACTCAGCTCTGGTTAGGAGCGCCCGGTAAGTTTCCTACCCAAAGTCAATAATCGATAGACCCTGCCCCGGAGGTTGACTCCTGCCGCAATCAGATTTTGTGTGTTTGGAAGCCCAGCCTCAAACAGTCTGTGGCAGCTGATTTGCTGCATGCTGTGGGGGTGTGCAAAAGGGCACACCCTGATTTCCCCAAAGATCCCAGGACTCCGCAGTGTTCCCTCTAAGCCGAGTTAGTGTGAGCTAGCTCACAGTTTCTTAGCCTCTGGCTCACGCATTTTTGTCTTAGCTCAGGAAGGAGGGCTCCAGAGCAGACTGATTTATGCAGCAGCCAAATCGCACAGCTCACAACTTTAATGCCGGTAGCTCACAAGGTAGATTTTTTGCTCCGAAGACTCCACATCTTAGAGGGAACATAACCCAGGAGATCTCAGAAAGCTCTTGCTTCAAGAGGCACAGGGAGTCCTCGTTGTTCCTTGGCTTGAGAGGCGCTATTGAAACAAGCCTGATTTCCAGAAAGTTCCCACCCCGTGAAGGTTGATCTCCCGTTGTTATGCCAACCCATTGGCCTCACTGCTGCCATTCCCTCTGTAGTAACACCACAAATAAGAACACGGACACAGGTGGCTGTTTAAAAATTGTAACTAAGAAAAAGAAGAGGAAGAGGAAGAAGAGAGGAAGAGATTGGATTTATACCCCGCCCTTCTCTATCCAAAGGTGTCTCAGAGCGGCTTACAAACTCCTTTCCCTTCCCCTCCCCACAACAGACACCCTGTGAGGTAGGCAGGGCTGAGAGAATTGACAGAAACTGCCCTTTTTCAAGGACAGCTGTGCCAGAACTACAGCTTGCCCAAGGTCATCCAGCCAGGTGCAAGTGGAGGAGTGGGGAATCAAACCCAGTTCTCTCAGATTAGAGTCCGCCATGCACTTAACCACTACACCAAAAGGGCAAGAGTCCAGTAGCACCTTAAAGACTGACAAAATTCGTAGCAAGGGTAGGAAGCTTCTGTGAGTCACTGCTCACCTCTTCAGAGTTTTCGTGAGCCACTTCAGATCTGAAGAAGTGAGCAGTGACACACAAAAGCTCCTCCCTTGCCACACGTTCTGTTAGTCTTTGTGCTATTGGACTCTTGCTCTTTTCTACTGCTACAGATAGACTAACACGGCTACCCATCTTTAACTAAGGAGAGACAGTCATTTATTTATTTATTGGCCTCAGTATTCCTCATCTGGAAAATGGGCGCGTTAATTGGCTGGCTTGTGACCAGTTCTTCACATAGCATTTTTAGTTGATTTTTGGAATCACTGTGGATAGAAACTAAGAGATGACTTTGTAGGGGTAGACGTTGCGGTGTCATGATTGGTAATTACAATTGGCTCCATCTTCTAAGGGGAGAGCCATTTTGCAGCAGGCCCCGCCTTTGGGAGGAGCGTTCAAAAAGCAGCTCCACCACCGAAGAGGACCCTTTTTTGAAATTGGCTCCAGCTGGTGGACTATGGCAATTAAAAAGAAGTTCTCTTTAGTCTCACGACGACTAGATACTGTTGTAGAGAATGATCTCAAGTAGGATTTGTGTTCTTGTTCCAGGAGGTGGGCAACTGCGAGAAGGTGGAAAGCTTTTGCAGGCGGAAGATCCTGAAGCCACAGGCCGACGTGGAATTCTTCCGGAAAGAGGGCAGAACGGAAACCAGTCAGGAACCGAGAGGTTGCGGGAAAAGAACTTTGAAGAGAAGGTGGATATTTGGGAGGCAGGCTGGAACGAAACCACCGCCTGGCGAAAAATCCATGCAGAGACTACCCCGGAAATATATGCCGAGAGTTGCGGGAAATTAGGCCCCGTCTCGGACTTGACAAAGCACAAGAGGATCGAAGCGGGCGAGAAGCTCCATATCTGCTGCGACTGTGGGAAAAGCTTCAGCCGGAGGTCGGACCTCATTAGGCACCAAAGGATCCACACGGGGGAGAAACCTCACAAATGCTTCGACTGCGGGAAGAGTTTCTGCCAAAGGTCGCAGCTCCTCGGGCACCAGCGGACGCACACGGGGGAGAAGCCGTACGTCTGCCTGGCCTGCGGGAAGAGCTTCGCCCACCACTCGACCTTCATCGCCCACAAGAGGACCCACACGGGGGAGAAGCCGTATAAGTGCTCGGTGTGCGAGAAGAGCTTCGGCAACCGCTCGGTCCTGATCAAGCACGAAAGGATCCACACCGGTGAGAAGCCGTACCAGTGCTCCGAGTGCGGGAAGCGCTTTAGCAACCGGACCAGCGTGCTCAAACACGAGAAGACCCACCGGAAGGAGGAGGCCCAGGGAGACCCAGGCCGTGGGAAGGACATCTGCTCCTACAGTCATGAACACAAAAGCGTTGACGGAGACTGACCTGACCCCCTCTTGCCCGTGTTTTTTTTATCGGGGAAGCAAGAGAGGCTGAAATTATGAGTACTTAGGCTAACAACTTGGGAAAAGCAGAAATTCAAGGAGCTGGGGCGAGGGAAAGTGCATTGGTTCGTGCGTGCAGAAAAAACAAGGAAGCAGTGATGCTCTGTGTTTTTGGTGGTGGTGGAGGACACAGTGGGTGGAGCTTCTGGAGTTCTGGCCCTGCTGGTGGACCTGCTGATGGCACCCAGGTTCCGGCCACTGTGTGACACAGAGTGTGGGACTGGACGGGCCACATGACTTCTCTTACGTTCTTAAATAAGGAGGAGGAAGAATGAACGACACCCCTTCACACTGCCGGCAGAGGAATTCCTTTTTTGGGAGGCTCATTCTTATTTAAAAACTTCTTGCTATCAGTCAGATCACGAGTGGGCCGCCGTGTGGGTCTGTCTGTAGCAGTAGAAAAGAGCCAAGAGTCCAGGAGCCCCTTACAGACTGACAAGATTTGTGGCAGGGGAGGAGCTTTTTGTGAGTCACCGCTCACTTCTTCAGACACGGCCAGATACAGGGTGTATCGGAAGAAGTGAGCAGCGACTCACGAAAGCTCCTCCCCTGCCACAAATCTTGTCAGTCTGTAAGGGGCTCCTGGACTCTTGGCTCTTTCCTTGCTATTAGAAGCACATTACGCCTTGGTGTTTAGTCATGCCGGCCACATGACCACGGAAACGTCTTTGGACAGCACTGGCTCTTCGGCTTTGAAACGGAGATGAGCACCGCAACCCTAGAGTCGGACTCGGCTGGCTTTCGAGCAAGGGAAACCTTTACCTTTACCTTACGGCAAAGGATGAGAGCAGATGGAATTCGTTTTCTTTCTTTGTGGTTACTCTTCTAACCTAGCTATGTGCGGGTGATGCTTTTTAAAAAAAAGTCATTCCGGACTGATGTCTTTGGTTTCGAATTACTGTCCATGTTCTCCCTACCTCGTGGTTTAAAAAACTCCCAGATCCAATTGTTTCTCTAAAAGTACTAGGTTTTGTGGGGTTTTTTTTTTACAAATCTGCTTTCTCTCAGGGTTACATGGTTTCATTCCATCCTACCTGCATTTCAGTTGTGGTCTTGTACCTCTTTGTTCGAATATCCTGAAGAATAGGAGCCGAGTGGGGTGTAGTGGTTAGAGTGTCAAACTGGGTTCAAATCTGTACTCTGCCAAGGCAGCTCCCTGGGCAACCTTGAGCCAGTAACACCCTCAGCCTAACCTACCTTATAGGGCTGTTGTGAGGATAAAGTGGAAGAGAGGAGGACCGTGTCAGCCACTGTGGGTCCCCACTGAGGAGAAACATGGGGCAGTGTTCCCTCTAAGCCAAGTTACTGTAACCTAGCTCACAGTTTTTTAGCCTCCGGCTCACACATTTTTGCCTTAGCTCAGGAAGGGATGGCTCCAGAGCAAACTGATTTATGCAGTAGCCAAATCGCTCCCTCACAACTTTCATGCCAGTCGCTCACCAAGTAGAATTTCTGCTCACAAGACTCCACAGCTTAGAGGGAGCAATGTCGGTGGGGTATACAGAAAGCAAAGGAAAAAATGATACCCTCAAAACAGCCTGCTTGTTTAAGTTCCTGCTAAGGGTTTGCCAGTAGAAGGGTGGGATTATTGGCGATTTGCCCAATCAAGCTGTCTCCTGCCCTGTCTCACTGTTTCCGCTTCCAAAACGGGTTGCCCTCTGCCCATGGTGGACAAGTTCACCAAGACACTCTATCCTGAGAACTTTTCTGCAAGAATTACCAAACTCCCATGTTCCCAATGGAAACCATAACAGGTAAACAATAATGTGGGGTTAGATGTGTCTAATGCCTGCCGCACTGCCCTGTGCCAGTTTGGTGTAGTGGTTAAGAGTGCAGACTCTAACCTGGGAGAACTGGGTTTGATTCCCCACTCCTCCACTTGCAGCTGATGGATGACCTTGGGGAAGCCATAGTTCTGACAAGAGCTGTCCTTGAAAAGGCAGTTCTTGAAAGGGCTTTCTCAGGGTGTCTGTGGTGGGGAGGGGAAGGGAAAGGAGCTTGTAAGCCGCTCTGAGACTCCTTCGGGTAGTGAAGGGCGGGGTAGAAATCCAATCTCTCTGTGGTAGGCTCTCTCCTTATTTTTCAAATTTATATTCCACCCTCCCCGTGGAAGGCTGCCTTATACTGAACCAGACCCTCAAAGTCCCTCAAAGTATTGTCTACTCAGACTGTCTTTCACCTCACCTACTGCTGGGTCCTTTTCACTGGAGAGAAATGGTGTCATGATATTTGCTGTGCCACCAGAGGCCTACTAGGCCCAGGGAGCCTGGCTAGCAGTAGGTGATGCTGGGCCTACAACTCCCAGAAGCCCCTGAGAGGTTTTGGAGCCAAAATTGACCAATAGGAAAAGAGGAGGGCTTGGAATAAAAGATCTGGTGCAGCAGGAAAAGCTGTTCTTCTTCCCAGGAGACAGAGCCAGAAGGAACTGATGCTCCTGTGAGGGAGAGACCCTCATCCTGAGGGAAGGGTGAGTAGTCTAGTGCCACTTGGAATAGTGGGCTAGGGACAGTATATATTTAGACGCGTTAGGCATTTGATTTCTTTGCACTCACTTACTGTTATATTTCTGCACCTTGTTTGTTTGACCTCCTATAAAATAAACTATTTTTATTGTTCACTCTGCCTGGTCCTCACGCCTATTATTCGGCCAAAAGGGAGGTCTAAAGGCCTGGGTAGGTGCTCTGGGCCTTCTCAGAGGAGCCTGGAACCAGAGTGGTGGCAGCGTCAGGTGACACCCCACCTGAGCCGTGACAAATGGTATAGCCCCCACCTTTTTCACCGAATGAGAGCCTTTGGAATTTCGATACAGGGTGGAGGGTGCAACCACAAAATGGCTGTCATGGGAGGCAGAGCCAACCATACCCACAGAGGAAACAAGTGCAAAGGACATAAGGTGTAGAGAGGGAAGAATCTCTTCCTTATAACTCCTGGCCGCCTTATACAGACATTACAGGCCATCCTGGCTTTCCCCCATGAGTTGACTACTGGGAGAGATGGCAGTCCCCCTGGCCTTCAAGCTTTCCCTCTAGGTCAGAGCTCCAGCTGAAGAGGCCTGAACCTGGCTGAAGGAGAAAGAACATTAGCAGAGTATGGCGTGGTGAGCAGGAGATGCTGAGAGGTGCACAACTTGCTCGTAAGGAATGGACACTTCACCTCTAGCATATGTCTGCTCACATGCCTGCGCACGAATGGTAAGGCACCACAGGGTGTACGCGTCGCAACTGGATGTTTTCAACAGGACTGTCAAAGTGGGTCTTGATTTGAAAATCTGTCTCAGGAAGGACAGTGAGGAAAGAAGAAGAAGCTGGATTTATACCTCACCCTTCACTTGGAGTCTCAGAGCATCTTACAATCTCCTCCCCTTCCTCTCCCCACAACAGACACCTTGTGAGGTAGGCGGGGCTGAGAAAGCTCTGAGAGAACTGCTCCTGAGATAACTGTGACTGATCCAAGGTCACCCAGCAGCTGTGTGTGGAGGAGTGGGGAATCGAACCCAGTTCTCCAGATTAGAGTCCGCCGTTCTTAACCACCACACCACACTGGCTCTCATTAATCTGAGGAAGAAACAAATGAGTGGGGGGGGGGGAGGCTGGCCCTGTCCATAATAATATCTTATTATTCCTTCCAGTGGGTCCTTTGCGATTTAATAATTGTCCTGAATGGAGAATCAATAATAAGAAATTGCATATGATTGAGCCCGGGAATATGGGAAAATATCTGAGAGTCAGGATTGACCCATGGAGAGGAATTTCTAAAATTATCCCTGAAAGGAGAGTTAAAGAAAGACTGGCTACCTGAAACCCAAGACAGAGGATGGTGATGGTGAAAGATTTTATTATGCCCAGACTTCTATATGCTGCAGATCATACGGAGATCAGAAGAATACCTCTTAGTCACACTGAAGATATAATTCAAGGATCCCTGACAGGATGCCCAGGGGTGACACGGGGCCTGCCAACACCTCTTCTGGCACCCATCAAATGGTTTCAGATAGTGTACAGAACCAGCTGGGGCTTTTCTCCAGCAAAGCTTCTGATTGGCTGTTTGGATTTTTAAAAAATATTGCTCTTGCAGCAGATGCCACTTTGGTGCTGGTTCCGCCTCCTGAATCACCCATTTGTATCACCCATTTTGTGGCTGCACCCAGCAGCACGCACTGTCAGTTCCAAAGGTGCCTGCAGGCTCAAAAATGTTAGGGACGCCCCCCGATATAATTAGAGCTGTTGTGGAGAGAGTAGGTTGCGTCTACCTATATGAACAACTAACTGCTTGATGTATTCGCACTCTACAGGTGGTGGACCAGGTTTGGCAAGATGAGAGAAATTAGTTCCAATGACGAGGTTTAAAGAGACTCTGTATATGTAAGGTGGGAAGCCCTGAATCCGTTGCCCATGTACTACTCTACTGTGATCTCTGTGCGGAATTATGCCACTGTCTAATCCAGGGGTGTCGAACTCATTTGTTATGAGGGCCGGATCTGACATAAATGAGACCTTGTTGGGCCGGGACATGCATATAATAAAATGTAATGCCAGGTAGCGGAGATATAAACTTTATAAAGGACACAAACACAAAGGGTTTTTTAACTTAAAATACAGGATTGCTGCATGTGATAGACAGGAGCACTGTTCCCTCTAAGCTGAGTTGGTGTGAGCTAGCTCACAGTTTTTAACCTCGGGCTCACACATTTTTGCCCTCGCTCAGTTAGGATGGCTCCAGAGCAAATTAATTTATGCAGTAGCCAATCGTTTGCTCACAACTTTAATGGCAGTCGCTCACAAAGTAGAATTTTTGCTCACGAGACTCCACACCTTAGAGAGTGCATTGGA